TGAAAGATATTCTGATGCTACTTTCGGGACTGTAAATGAATTTTCACTTCGGGTTTGGTACCCGAAATCTTAAATGGCTATTAAATTATCACAGTGATAATAATCACTGTGATAATTTAATAGACAATCACGTCACGTATCATTTTCCTAATAAATACATATTATATACTTTTATAAATAACTTATAAATTTAATCCGTAAAATTTATATATAATATTTCATAATCGTATTACAAGACGTCTTTGAAGACATTCCTTTTTGTCGAGAACCACAATTATCGTTAATTTTCTTATTCCTCATTAAATACACAATTCGTAACTTAAATTGCAGCCATTTCTCTTACGACTTTAGAAAACCGTAGTGTAATGCAAAAATACATTGCCTCATTAGTACCGGAAAAAGCACATAGGAAACTCTAGACAAATTGGAAAAGATCTTGTTTTGCAAATTACAAATAATTCTTTGTGCCGTAATAGGCATGGATAAAAGATGTTTCAATTTGCATAATGAGCGGCAATTTTGGATACTTTCTCTTCATTTTTTCAATGACTTGTAGCTTGAGAGATAATGAAACTGTGATTTGCACGTATAATACACAATAAACCAGTGGCGCTACACGCCTTAGTGTTGATCTCCGATTTTTGAATCAGTTTCGTAACCATTTCTTGGAATTAGCTTTGCCTAACACATGTCGTCAACTTTTGAGTTGGTTTCGTTGTTTTCCTTTCAACTTTGTACACCGTACGAGTGAGTGATATATGCGCACATGAAATATCTCTTTTCTTGACATCGTAACGAGGTAGACGAAATAAATTCAGTTTTTATTTATAAGAAGGTTAGTCTTTTCCTAATTTATTTATCAACTAGTGGACCCCACAGACGTTGTCCTGCATGATATTTAAAGCGATTAGGATATTAAGCAAAGTATGAAAGTACCGACTGCAGTGCCATCTGCCGGGCTGATTTGTGAATCTAAACCATTCCCAGATCCCCTTGAACACACACAAAAAATTTCATCAAAATCGGTCCAGTCGTTTGAGAGAAGTTCAGTGACATACACACTCACAGAAGAATTATATATATAAAAATAGCCATAAATACTTGTAGTAGTTTGTTTTATAATCTGCAAATTATTAATATTAGAACTTATAAATTGGATGTATAAAAGGGATATAACGGTTTCGATATTTGTAAATATGTGAGGAACATGTATACTAACTTCTTTAGTATAGTAGTTTATTCTAAGAGTACATTGTCTTCACATATAATTATTTAACAAATGTAAACGAAATATTGTAAACCTAGTTTAAAAGAGTAAGTGTGGAGTTTCTTGCCCATTCTTCTCCACACGAAACTACCTTTTGGAAGGGGCAACTAGAATCTTCTTTGTATTTTGTTTGACGTTCAAAAGTACTTTAGGTGGTCTAATTAATAAATGATTATAATAAAATAGATATATATATATATATAGATATATATATAATATATAAATAAATGATTTGACTTTGACATAATTTAAACAAACTATAATTTTAAAATACTTGTGTGGTTTTGTTGCGATGTATGCGGGGAAATTTTATAATTAATTTAAATTTGTATGATTGAATATAGATACCTTAAAACCAACCAACTAATATAATATTTAGAACAATATAAATTGTATATGGACTTATGATTGCTCCTCAAATAAATAAATTTTTATAATATTACAATTTTTATTTTATTATTTGTTTATAGAACAGGTAACGGAAGGCTTAAGTGATGTTAAGTGATAAGAAGAGAAGAAAAGACGTAAGAGCGTTGCCAACCCTTTAAGAATGGGTTGAACCCAGGACCCTGGGTTGAATTGGTTCGGAAATACATCAATGGACAACTGGTGGTGCTAAGCATCAAGAAGTCAGTTATACAAAGGTATTTAAAGTGTTCAATAAAAAAAAAATTGTACGTATACTGAAAATAACTGAGAGAACGTGTGACTAATAGAAGTATGCGTCGAACGAGTTATCTTGCTTTACCTAAAATACGTACGAACTACGGCAAAAAAAATGTTTAGCTACGAAGGCGCACAGCTGTATAAACTACCCACAAAAAAAATTACTTCTTTCAATTCATTCAAATCGAAGCTACGTGAATATGTTTATCTCTGCCTTTTAATAAATTTAAGAATTGTATTAAAGAAAAGCTGTGTAAAAAGGCTTACTATAAAGTTAGCGATTATCTAGTTGATAAAAGGGCCTGGGACTAGTGCTAGACAGGCTACTTCTAATTAATTTGTTTTAAAATAAGTGTTGTTTGATGATTTGCTATTTTAAAAGAGTACCGAGAGTTTTTTACGCCGGCTTTTTCTCTCGGCCTACACCCTCTGTCTTCTTTGCCGATGAGTAGGGATGCCTACAAATTCAAATTTAATGACGTGGAATAAGTGATACATGTATCTTATGTTCCTTAATAAACATATTTTATTTTTTTTAATTTTTTTTATGTTAGAGAAAATTACTTTTAATTTCATTTCTTATAATTACTTTTAATTCATATTTCTTTGGTTACTTTTACTTTTAAGTTTATTGCATGTAAAGCTATCTTTTTATTGTGATTATTTTAAGAACGACTACAATGTTATGTTAATCTAAAATATTATTCTCATGTAAGTGACATTTTTTGTCTTTTTGAGAAATAAAGTCTTAAACCCAAAGATGGATTCTGATTCTGTGATGCTTAAATTTTGCGTAATATTTCAATTTTATTTTTATGATTAGCTCTTAGACTTGTCTTCATTGCCCAAGGAACGATGTTGTTTCCGGTTCTCATTTCTTTCAATGGTTTCATGTCGCGTTAAGATCTTTTGTTTTTAAAATGAAGATTTGCTGATACGCTTTTATTTTACAAATTTTAACCTAATTTTTTCTAATAGTTTAACTTTTTAAATGTATTCCTTTTTAATTAAATTAAATCAATGTCAAAAGTGTATGATGCTGTGGTCTCTGGGAGAATGACCAGCACTGTCAAACAGTCTGCTCCTCAGCATAATTCTGCTAGCTAGGGCCAATTACAACCACAGCACACACACATTTCACACTTAAAACGTACCTGGTTCTTTAAAAGAAAAAAAAATTGTCACATTTCATATGTCTATGTCTATATATATATATAGTGAATAGTAGAGAAGTGTTGGCCTAGTGGCTTAGGCGTACAGCTGGGTCGTACGATTGAATCTCGGTTGGTGACCAATGACTTTTCTTATTAACACACTTTTTTTATGTAATAGGAGGCAAACGGGCAGGAGGCAAACGGGCAGGAGGCTCACCTGATGGTAAGTGATACCGCCGCCCATGGACACTCATAATGCCAGAAGGCTCGCAAGTGCGTTGCCGGCCTTTCAAGAATTGGTACGCTCTTTTCTTGAAGGACCCTAAGTCGTATTGGTTCGGAAATACTTCAGTGGGCAGCTGGTTCCACATAGTGGTGGTGCGCGGCAAAAACTGCCTTAGAAAACGCTCAGTTAAACACTAACGCTAACTAACGCTCATGTATTTTCAGGGAACAATCCAAGTTTTGTCAAAGTATGGAGTAGTTTCTAAGGTCATAACTTATTTATGAAGGCATTTTACCAAGATAGGAAAATATTAAAAGTTATTTCAAGTCGATTTTGTTGATCGACATTTTTGATATGTTTTATTGAGTTTCTGGGTGAGTGGAGTTCAATAATAGAAGATATCATTTACAACTCATATTTAAGAAAATAATAAATGCTATGATTTTTTTTTGGGAATTGAAATTGAATTGAGAAACGAAACAGAGATAAACCACTCACGAGATGGGCGGACGACTTTGCTAAAACGGAAATAGATATAAAAAAAGGTAGAAAAAAAATTGTGTAATTTATTTTCTAAAAAAAAATATAGTTGTGTTAAGTTTACTTTGTTCTTTTGCATGAAAAAAAGGCTTTTTATTTTATTTTTATTTTATTAAATGCTATGAAATGAATGCTATGCTAATACTGCTAAAGACAGTTCCTGCGTTTGGCTATACTCTAGGGGCATACCTCCCACGATCTAGGTAACCGGCACGGTTATAAATGTACGAAAGCCTTAATGAACAAAATGTACAGGCTTGGCTCGTGCTGAATAATTTGTATAGATATATACCTATATATACACAACAATTATCGATTGAACATCACAATTATTAAAAAAAAATATATCCTATTTTAGGACAGGAGGCAAATGGGCAGCGGGATCGCCTTAATTTAAATGATACGGCCATGTTAAATTACTATTGTAATATGATTTATTTTCAAACATCACAAAACCTAATGTTTTTTTTTATAGAACATGGGCAAACGAGCAGCAGGCTCACCTGATGTTAGGTAATACCGCCGCCCATGGACACTCTCTATGCCAGAGGGTTCGCGAGTGCGTTGCCGGCCTTTTAAGAATTGGTACGCTCTTTCTTGAACGAACCTAAATCAAATTGGTTCGGAAATAATTCAGTGGGCAGCTGGTTCCACATAGTGTTTGTGCGCGGCAAAAACTGCCTTTAAAAACTCTCAGTTGTGAAACGACGGACGTCGAGGTGGTACGGGTCGAATTTCGCATTCTGCCTTGACGTCCGATGATGAAACTCAGCTGCAGGTATTAATCCAAACAACTCCTCTGACCACTCTTCATGCTGCGGTAGAATATGAAGGGAGATACCACCTCTCTACGTCTTAAAATTTCCATAAAACTGACATTCATATTTCGTAAATTGATTTCCATTCAATATTCTCTGATTATAATAATTATTACAAAAGTTAATCTGAGATACGAAAATCATTTATTTTACCTGATTGGATATTGATTCGTTATCTATATTTTTGATAACAACAAATTTGAGTGATAGTGGTCAGTTTTTTAGTGTCCTCTCGTGAAATTAGTCGTTCAAGTTGATTAGTTTCGTGTGTCGATGTGCGCCTTCAAGTTTTGCCTTTTCTACGAAGAATCAAAAGTTTCATACTTACAATGGTTGACGCAAATCACTCTATGAAGGAGGCAAGTAGTGGCTTAATAGATTTTCTCCTATATAATAAACTAGAACGGATATTACAAGACTATGAATTTAAATTATCTTTATTCGGTAAAAGATTTACTGAAATATAATTAATTTGAACCATTTATTAATATTTTAATTACTTTAAGACTGTATTTGGACAATGAATTTTACCGCCATAATTATTTATGTAGCTTTTGAATAATGTAGACATTTCAAAGAGATGGCAAAAGGGTCACTTCTTACAAAGAAAGATATTGATTATGTATATTTTATTCTTCATAAAAAAAGCGTTTAAACATATTTCATCAGCGAGCATGATGCTCGCTATTATAAATTTATCGCGAGAGAAATATTTAAGAAATCTTAGTTTCTTGATTAGTAATTATAATATAATTTCAATTTAAGTTTTTATTAAATGCTAATCGATAAATTTTATACGTGCTTTAAATATTTTTTTTGCAATAAGCAATCATACATCTTGATTTTACATGTAATTTTTGAAAAAGGAATGGAAGTAGGACCACCAGTTTTTTACAAAATTGAAGCGAATCGAAATGAACGAACGATTGTGTTTCGTGTTCTTTTATTATTTTAACTTTATAATTTTACCATTCAATTCCACAGAATGTAGTTAAGGATAGTATTTCGGTCAACGGGTCTGAAACACCGAAGCGTGCATCATGGGGTAGTCCACTGGAATTCATTCTAGCGTGTTTGGGTTACGCGGTGGGTCTGGGCAATGTCTGGAGATTTCCGTATCTATGCTACAGGAATGGCGGTGGTAAGTGGCTACTGATAGATACGTCATCACAGCCTCAAGACATAAGGCAGTCACATATCGTGATACCTCGGTCTGTGGCCATCAACTATGCTAAGTAGTTATGTTATACTGAATGGTTAGCGTTGAATGAATTTTGGTAATTGGGCTGGAGTGTGGATTGTCATTTATTGGTTATAAGTATCCCTTGTTGGCCTTCTACCAGTTGAACTGTACCCACTGCAAAAAGCAACGAATTCAGTATTCGCTGGCTTTAAATCCAAATAAAATATTTGCGGTAAATGTAAAATATATTACAAGAAAATATTTCATTTATCATACCATAATTTTGTAATAATTTATGTCTGTGCCTTTAATTCAAAACAATGTTTAATTTCCTGACATCTTAATTCAGAAATTGTTATAACTTAAGTTATAAATTTATCTTATCAGTGCCTAGCTCTTGTATCTATAAAACGGATGGAAAATGTATTTAATAATCTACTTAAAAACATTCCGTTTTATTAATTCCATACAATACGTTTTCAGGTGCTTTTCTTATTCCATTCTTTCTGATGATCATGATAGTTGGCCTGCCAATATTCTACTTGGAGTTATACGTTGGACAGTACACCGCTCTTGGTCCGTTGAAGGCGTTCCAGTCAATTTCTCCGTTCTTCTCTGGGGTGGGATACTGTGCCTTAATGGTGGTCAGCATGATATCTGTGTACTATATGATAATTGTTGCTTGGACCTTATACTATACTGTGGTGTCGATAATAGGCAACTTGGAATGGGGAACATGCTCGAACGATTACAATACTGATTGTAAGTAAATTGCTAATTATACTTCAGCGTACATTATCTTATTCCTCTCTTAAGACATAACTGGAGCCATAGTTCTGAATCTAAACTTTGGATTTTATATTTATATTGTAATGAGTTTTATAGTAAAAAGTATATAATATTTAAGAAACCAAACTTTATGTGGTTTAATTTAATATAGTCAAGTTATAATACCAATAAGTTTAGGTAAAATAGTCGTGTTTGTTTGTTTATATTTCGATAGGAAAATATATATACGTTTTAATCCGCTGAAGTATTTTCTCCTATTTGATATAAATGTTAATTTCCAAAAACAAGTCATACGAGGTACAATATATCGCTTGTTATACGGGTACAATTGTAAAATTCCACTTAGATCGTTTGATCAAAATGAATTTCCATTCAAACTTTTGACTCAGCATCACATCAGGTGTTATATGACTTTTATTATCATTTTCAAATAAAATTTCCACGGGTTCACAGTCGAAATTGTAAGAAATAAATCACCGAACTCCTTATATCGCGACGTGATGCAATTCTTGCGTAAAGTCATAAATTTTATGACACGCCAGTATATTAAACTCGTAAAAGGATATCATTCAAAGTACTAAAGTATATGAACCTTTATCATCTATTATTGTTATGGATATTTGGCACATTAATCGGCCGAATTTCAGATTTACTGTACTGATAAAATATTTATAATTTTGTAGCAATTGCTAGCTAATTGTAAGCTCTTTCTCGTTAAATACGTTGAAACAACCATGTTTATACTATGTAGAAATAAAACATATGATTCTTTTTCTTATCAAACATTAGTCTAACTTATTAATCTATGCATCAGATGTATATTTAAGCGTACAGAGACTCGTCGAAAAACGACTATGTATAGATTTTCTACCTAATATGATCCTAAATTATACATTTATTTTTACGCTTTACGAAGAACTATGATATTGTGTGTTCGAACAATAAACAATTTTTGTAACAAAGACAGAGGCATATCCATATAATTTTTATAGATAATTAAATTCTAGTATGTCAGCCTTGTATGCTATCAATTTTATGCAAAGCGCTAAAAAGGTACATTTAAGAATTAATTATTTGACAAAAATTGGAGCTGCTAGGACAAGAGAATTACATTTTTTAATCTAATTATTAATAAGCATAATTTTGTAAGAAGATTCATATTTTGCCTGGATATTTTAATTATTTTTACCACTTTGATCAACTCAACCACTGAAGCGGCCACTGTGGTGTGTCCAACAAATATAATTCGAATTCTTCTAGTTTGCTACAGTGGAGAATACGACTCAAGATGTAGGGAAAATAACACTGGTGTCGCCGCAGACTTAACCTATTATATGCGAAAATGTATGAGTATTGAAGACATCTGTATAATGACTGGATACCAGCCATATAATGATAAATACTGTATGGACGGCTCTGAGACAGTACCTTGGTACACAAATGCAACCAGGATATTGGCTTCGGAAGAGTATTATAAGTATGTTTATATCTTGTATGTGATAAAAAATAACAGATAAATAATAATAATTACACAATCTATTTTCGCGATGATGCACGCAAATTGATAATTTTAGCATGTTTCATTATGTTTTGAAACTGTTTTTACCCTTTTTTAAATAAAACTCTTGTAAAAGGTAAGTTTGAAACCTAACACTTATTAAAATTACTGAACAAAAATGTAATACCTATATTCTTTGTTTTAGTCAGCGTGTGTTGGGAATAGGAGACGCAACGTGGGAGAATTGGGGAACCATTCAGTGGCATCTCGTCGGATGTCTATTCGGATGTTGGGTTGTGGCTTTCCTCGTCGTTATTAAGGTAGGGATCGATGATGGACGACGGGACAAAAGTTAAATCTCTAGATTTTCTATCTAGACTCTTCATAAATTTAGGAAGATCCTATTAGATAAATGTTTGTAATCGCTGTATTAACCGTTTCATTCATTTATATCAATACACGACAAAGTTGAAGTTTTTTCTAAAAACTATTGATAACAAAACTTTCCTTGAAACCATACCCAAATTCGTCAGGATTTGTAATTCCCTATTCAATTTTTTAAGTATATTACAAAGTAAACTTCGTAATTTTTTAATTAATTGCGTTCTCTCGTTGAGTCATATTTCAATGATTCATACAATAATTAACCTGAACATGCGTGAGTTATCATAATTTATATACAAATCTTTGTAACATTCAATAACTATTACATAGTCTACTCGACTTAGGGCAAATTTTTTATTTTTTTATTTTTTATTCAACATTAATCGTGGAACGGTGTGAAATAAAATAAAATATAATGTATAGAGCTGTTGTTTATTCAGACTGATGAATCAAATTATTGTAATACAATTGGATATTTCGCCCACCAAAAACAATAGTTCAAATTCAAACAGTAAATTGTGATTGGAATCTTCTTTAAATTTTGTTAAAATATTTTATACTGTTTTAAATTTTCATAAAGCAAGCATGTTAACAAATTATACATTAAAGAAAGCTAACTTGATAATCTGAAATCATTTAAAATGTTCTTTTATACAGAATATACATGCAATAATTCTAAAGAGTAACTTTATTAAAATAGGTAAATAATTTATTGTAAAAGCTATATTGAAATACTCGCCCACCTTGATATCTTATTCATTCCCTTTATGAAACAGAATAAGCTTGTGTGCCTCTTCACTGAACCACACAAACACAACAAAAGTAACAAAGGTCACTATTCTAATAAGCAGTTGAAAACGTAGTTTGGATAACAAAAAATGCAACATGGTGTTCGAACCATATGTTGTTTATTTTTAACTTTGTGTTAGTAGTATTCAAGTGTACGCAATATTGTTTCTAAGAACTTCTCCCAAACATCAATCATCTGGGTGATCTGTGTACGAGTGTTCCTTTGATATATTCTGAAGTAGTATCTAAAATATATTTAATTTGAAAAGATGAATTTGAATTTAGTACCTTCATTTGTGAATATAATTTCTTTAATGTAACTGTAGATTTACAATAACTTTCTTATTACCAAAACGTCTTTTTAAAATTTCCAAGGTTGTATATAATTGTTTTCAGTAATTGTAATATGCCGAAAAAATACTTCTGCGTCTTCCGTCACACTAGTTTTTAAATAATGTAATGTAACTTACCTACACTTAAACCTTCTTGGCATTCCTTATAAGGTCCAGTACGTGGCAATAAATCCGATAAATTAGCATTAATAAATATCTTCAATTCAAAAATAATCCTCTTTTAAAAATAGGACATCGAATCTCCTTGTTCCCGCGGCGTACATTTAAATAAACTTTGATGAGCCTGTTTAAAGTCATCCCAGTATTGTTCTATAGTATTTATTCTCACACCGATATATCCAGTAGTAAGTTTTGATTAAGTATTTTTTTTTTAAATCTTGGCTTTGTGCAACATGCCCGCCACATCTAAAGTTGTTAATAATTATTTGCTTAATAGTTGGCACGAAAATTATTATTGTTCTAATTGACAATATGTAATTCATAATATGAAACACTAATCCCGTTATATTGCAAAGATTCACTTTATATCGTTAGATTCATTCTAAACTGCAGAAACGGTGTAAACAACTTGTTTTCAAAAGATCCTTATCGCTCGTGTATTGTTTTCGCGTCCGTTCCAAATTCCAATAACATATATACTAATCCGGCTCGATTGGACCAAATGTTTATTGTATTATAGTTCAATATTAATTACGGAACCGTGTGAAATAAAATAAAAGTGGCGTGTGTATTGAGCTGTTGTTTATTTAGAACTGACCAATGAATCAAATTATTGTAATATAATTGGACAATTATGATGCGTGTCACCCTTTTTCTTTTGTTATATTTAGGAGTCACTACCAACGAAGGAAAATTAAAAAAAAATCGAAAATGATTTTATAAGTTCCAAAAAGACAAGCATACATATAAGAAATGATTCTAATATAGTAGTTTTTTTTTGTATCAGTGTACTTGTGCCTAAATTTTTTCACAACCAAAAGAAGGAATTGTTGTTGTTATTCCTCTGTGGTTGTTACATAAATTCTACAATCAATGATATGTCGTTCCGCAATTTCGTTCACCATTCTAATACAACGTAACGTATTTTGAACAGAACTTTTGTTAATATTTTAAAATTTCTTTGATTTTTTTAACTAAATTTTTTTGCACGTGCCGGATCGATGAGGCCTTTTCACATTTCCTTTATAATAGTGTATTGAGCAATCCTACCAATATTGAGCCAAGTGCGAATTACTGTAACCTTACCCCTATTTTTTAGTCTAATTTGACCGGATTATAACAGCCACAAGTCATTGCTTAGTGTTGAAGTTGCCACGGTGGCTAGGAACCAGCGATGTTACATAAGTCGTAACAAGGAAACCGCAAATTTCATTAATGGCTTTAAATTATTTTTATTTTATTTTTGGTTAGTTGTAATTGGTCTCTCCAATCAGGTCATCCATCCATGAAGACCTTCTGGAGCTCTGAATGATATCCCTTTATTAGGCAAATACTATTCTAAGCGTCAACAGTTCTTTGTAATTGTCACGTGGCTGATAATAATTTAGCTGCTTTTCAGCAAATTAAAGTGTCCTGCCTGTCTACGTATCTTAAAAGTTCAGGTTCTGAAGAAACAATACGGAACTTATTCTGGTCAATGTTAGATAAGTTAGTTGGATCAGTACTTCTGGTCTGGGTTTTTGTGTTTTGTATTTACATTATATGTTGATGACAAGCCTAACAAAGAGCATCTTTTTCATCTATTGCACTAAGAGAATATCTCTTAACCCAGTGTTGACGGCAGTGGTGTCAATGCAAAAGCATATTATTATGCCGCTTAAGTTCCAAGAAATAATATTGTCGTAAAGTGATTGGTCATGTTTTCATTAAATCTTAACTTATAAATTTTATGTAATTTGTCATTACTATAATAACTTAGTAAATCAAATAAAAACCCTTAAAAAATAATATAATAACTGAAATATATTATTAAAAGGAGTCCCTTTAGGCAAGGTTCCGAAGATACTGGCAGCGATCCCCCTTTCAAATTTTATTCTTTGTCAGAAGTAGCTGCCAGCTCTTCGGTCTCCTGTGATGTCGACTAACTTTTTTCTATTTCCTTAAAAATACTTATAGCGCTAGGACCCCACGGACTGAGGGTCTCGACACCGAATGGGACAAAATCATATTCAGAGTCTAGATCTCTGTATTTGCATGCTTTACAGTCTCATAAATCAAATCATAATTTAGCGATATTAAGTCTTGCAATTGCATTGAAGTGGATTGACGCTACGTAATGAATTTACGTATTTATGTTTCTTTATTCATTTTAGGGTGTACAGTCAGCGGGAAAAGTTGTATATTTCACCGCCTTGTTCCCGTATGTAATGTTGACGGCACTTCTAATCAGAGGTGTAACATTGGATGGTGCTGGTGAAGGTATACTATTCTACCTGACTCCAAGATGGGAAAACCTTCTCAGCGCACGTGTTTGGGGAGATGCTGCTTCTCAGGTAGAGTACTATTTTTATGGGCAGCATATAACAGTAATATTTTTTTAAGTAACGTGAGAAAATTATGAACTAAATCAATCTAATCATACTTTTTTAATGGCCAAGTGGTTTTTTCTAACAAACTGTGTTAATAATATGCTGGCAAGAGATTTTGGTGACAACAGTCTAGTTGGTCTGATGTAGATTATATGAGCTTATTCATAAATGTTCAGCCTTCCCAACGTGTTTGTTGAGTTACTAAGAACAAAACACCACCTAAATGCCTTAGATCTCTCAGTACAGCTAATTCATCGCTTAACTAAAATATAGGAATTGTTGATAATTACTTAAATTTTTCAGACATTCTATTCTTTCGGCGTTGCTTGCGGGTCTTTGGTGACTCTTGCATCATACAACAAATTTACAAATAACTGCCACTTCGATGCTGTTTTTGTCTGTATCGCGAATTATCTTACATCGATTTACGCTGGATTCGTCATTTTCTCAGTGCTGGGCTTCCAAGCTAATAAGATGGGAGTTAGCGTTGATGGTATGTATTTTGTATTGTCACCTCCTTATATTCCTCCGATTCCGCGTCAAGATCAGCCCTGCGATTCTGTAACTCACTTTTCGAACCCACACAGCGGTTTTCGCATCGGCGATCGCTCTCAAATCAGTCGTGAAGCAGTCATTTTATGATTTGGCATTCTGATAAACAATAAACTACAAGCTCCCACCTTTTCAGAATGCCAAATCATAAAATGACTGCTTCACGACTGATTTGAGAGCGACCGCCGATGCGAAAACCGCTGTGTGAGTTCGAAAAGTGAGTTACAGAATCGCAGGGCTGGTACGTTTTTGACGGAAGTGATGAGTGTTAAATCTTGACTTTGAATAACTTTATGTCATGTTATGTTTGACACTACGACAGCATCAAAAAAAGTTTTACAGTGCTCCTCAAAGGCACGGGGGTATCTAAATGCTGCCTTTACTTTCTTACTGCCACCGTTAAATATATTTTTTATAATACTTTTTTCTAAACAAGCAATACGCCTACACTATTTTGGGTCTCATCTAGGTCTCATAAATTCCCGTTTCCTCATAACATTATCTCGTACGAGTAATAGTGCAAAAAGTATTAAAAATCCATTGGTACAACCAGTGTCCGAACTTATGACACGAACTTTGCCTAAACACTTGCCTTGCTCGCATAGCGTAAATACGACATGGGTGAAAGAGACGAAAGAGTGCATTATTTCAAAATGCAATGAGACACAATTTTTTATTCATATATAGCAGTATTCATGTCGAACATGTACAGTACAAACGATATACATATAAAGTTTATCATTATAAAATAAAAGGCACGATTTTACTTTTTAATCATTAAGTTTAGTTGTCTAACAAATCATTACCAAGCTTAAAAAACGATCAATAATAATGAACTATTAAACAGATTTAAATTAATTCTCAAGTATTAATACGATATAATTTCACGTCAAAAACTGATACTTCATCGGAAAATGAGTGAAATCAATTTGTTTATTCATATCGTACATTAATGATAGGGAATCGATAGATTATGTATTATCGACATTTTTGTAATAAATCTGCCACAAATTTACTGATAATGCGCATTATTAAGCCACTGTTTTTATGAGGTACTCAGAGACTTCATAATGAGTTCGTGGAACGTCCGAGGAATTTCAGATACTTTGCATATCTCTTATAGATAAACTAAACTTAATGATTTTAAAACGTTCTTATAAAGGTAAAAAAAAAGTTTGAACGATGAAACTTTATATGTATTAGGTTCTTACATATGAAATTGGCGTTTTTTATGGGAGGAATAAAAAGCAGATTTTTTCAAATAGAATATATTTAATTAATTAATTTATTATATACATGATCTTAAATAGAAGAAGTTAGTGTGGTGGAAACACAAACTGGACACAGTTAATTCATCAAAGTATGTAGGTACCATTGCTATCTGTGCACTTTTGCCATCTTATAGACAGTTCATTGATCCCTTTACTAAAAAAAACCATTCGGACGGGAATCAATACATTCTTTGAAGGCGGTTTCGATTGCCCCATCAGAGTTGAATTTTTTACCTTAGAAGTAATCCAAATTTCGAAAAAATGGTAATCTGTTGTAGCAAGGTTCGGGGAGTACGGTGAATGTCTTAGATATTCCAATTGAAGCTACTCAAATTTAATAGCAGTGTGTGGTCTAGCGTTGCCGTGAATCAGCAGTGGCCTAGAGCGATTGACCAGCCTTAGTTGTTGACCTTTACCATATTAAATAATGAAAATGGCAGCTGATACCAGCGCCATTACTCCGACATAATATATTATTATTATATCCCAACAATTAATGCGAGGATTATGTCTTTACTTATCATTGGTTTTTATCTTTATCAATAAAGTTGATTGATCGCTTGATTGAACGACCAATGATATTCATTTCATTACAAATTAATTATTCATAACGCGCTAATGTAAATTATATATCTTCAACAATCTCATCATATTTTATTATAAGACTAGGCTCACATTGTCAATTTTTCGCCGCGCGGCGGATAGTCTTTGGGGCATAAAATCGCGCAGTTTTGTGACTTAGTTTTCAATTCTGTTTCGCGCACACACACACGCTACAAAGTCGCCGCAGCGTTGAAAAGTATGTTACAAGTTTCTACTTGTTTGCGGCGCGGCGGTTGATCAGTTTGTTGTGATACATTAGCTTACATTCAATTGTAATTTCATTACAATGTCACAATACTGCGGCGCGATTTTAAAATTGTTAGAGCGCGCTTAGCCTAAGGACAGTGTCGACAAGGACAGTAACGATTTTTTCGCAAATAACGACATCTATATATTTAACGAGTAATCTATCCATGACTAAATTTAAAACATACACGGAAGAACCTAAAACCAGTTTCCTTTTTTTTGTAATTTTGAACGCAACTTCGAATTTCTATGCTACTTGAAAATGTGACTTAATTGTATGAAAAAAAACTAAATTTTTCAAGTAATTGATAATGAATCTAATTTTTAATGAATAAATAGGTTTTAATTCCAGAAAATAGAAGGTGGGAACTATAGGGTAGCATATCAAAATGTTACATATGTTGGTATGTAGCTACTAAAAAGGTCAGGCTACGTAAATCATCATATTCAAGCGATACAAAGTTCGCGGGGCAGCTAATGTAGAAAACTAAATTACGTACACTTACTTCATAGTTTATCATAAAAGAAAATGAAAATTTGTATAAGTCAGTAGCTTATAGGAACTTGTTATTCTAGTTCACTGATCTAGAAAATAACATACAAATAAGCTTTTTAGAACTAAAAAAGCTTTTTAGGCCTGGATCTCAGATCTCTGAATCTGTTTCATTATTATTTGCCAATCTAATAGCCAAGTAGTTGATCAGCCTCCTATGCCTGAATAAGCCGTCGACTTTTTGGGTCTAAGACATGCCGGTTTCCTCACGATGTTTTCCTTCACCGTTCGAGCGAAAGATAAATGAACTTAACATATGCTTAAAAGATTATAGAAATCGTTACGAGTTTTAGACTTAGCATTTTAGGTTCCAAATGTTATTAGAGATTAATATCTTGGGTAAAATTACCATTAATGGATACGAGGTAAAGCTCCCCAAAAAATAACAGTAAATACAAGCAGTTTAATTGTTTCAACTATGAGTACTCATCATTGTGCGCAATGAATTATTCATTAGAACCGTTATCAACACAAGCCGATCTCCACAAAATGATTACAGCTCAAAAGTCTGATTAAGTTATTTTTATTAAAGTATTTTTTGATTAATTTAATTTCCTTATTATTTTTAATATTTATAATAATTTATTTATTTAATTAAACTTTTTTATTTTTACAGATGTCGCCCAAAGTGGACCCGGACTGGCGTTTGTTGTGTACCCAGAGGCTCTTCTACAGATGCCGGTACCCCAGCTCTGGTGCATCCTATTTTTCTTTATGCTGTTTATTCTTGGGCTCGGAAGTCAGTTCGCGGGTATAGAAGCAATTAATACAACGATAGTTGATCGATGGCCAGTATTGAGGAAAAGATACTGGATGGTATGTGATTATTAAATGTTGTTTAAGTGCTAATTCGGTAGCATTAGGCATTTGTAAAGCGAGGTGAACTTTCTTCCCCTACAGAAACGATTGTTTTGCTTGGACCTAATTTCTCTGATATATACGTAAAAAAACCTAAAATCATTTCAATATTATTTATATATATTTGGACTTTAATATTTGCTTTTGTTACGTTTTTGGCAGTTGGTAAAAAAAAAAAGTTGATGCCCAACCACTTCCTAGAAGGTATATAATGTGTTTTGTGTAAAATTTTTCAAAAGTAATTTGTGTATTAAAACCTTTCTCAATTAATAAATTTAAAAAAATAATTACCACCAAATTTGTGATGGCACAATAACACGAAAAAATTAAATAACGTAGAAAAAGTGCCGCCGCATAGTTTTAGTAGTCCCCCAAAATGGCATAAGACTGGAGAAAAACGAAAAATACCAAAGGGATAACTAATTACGTATATGTACATAAACAAACATTAAAATACCTAAATAATTCATAAACTAGCAAACATCTTCCATTGATGTATATTCTTCTCTCTCGACAACCACTATTTTTTTCCAAATATAAGAGTCTTTCCTCCAACTTCGATTTTGTTCCCTATGGAGTAAAGACTCTTGGGCCGTGAACAGGCGCTTATTAAAGATTTAAGTTATCGCCTGGTAGATAGTACCGGTGACCCCAGAGCTGGTGCTTTCCTGGCTCAACGAATAAGTATCGCAATACAGCAAGGATATGTTGCCAGCGTTAAAGTGTATTCCACAGGGACCAAACTTTTTTAAATTTGTTTTAATTATCTTTTTAATTATTTTTGTAGGTAAAGAAAGTAATATTTTAAATTTGTACATATTAATTTAATACTTTGCTTCTAGGTAACGGCATTTACGTGTTTCGTGTGTTTTCTATTGGGGCTGCCGATGTGTTTCAGCGGCGGTGTTTATCTATTTACCCTGCTTGATTGGAACACAGCCTCATGGGCAATTCTCCTAATAGGTATTGCAGAGGTAAGTAACCTTAACAATATATATTCAAATAGGTTCAAATACCGGCCTCTTCAGCGACCCGTAAATAAACAAATCATATACCTACCTTAACCTTTTTCATTATTTTTTATTTATTTATTGTATACATAATCTTAAATTAAAAAGAAGTTGGTGTGGTGGAAACACAAACTGGACACAGCTTTTCTGTCCACCAGGACGTCGAACATATTTAATTAATTAAATTATATACAGCCTTACTGTGACATTGATGATCCATAGATAACCGATGCAAGAAATCATAAATCATTTGATCTATTGTTGAACAGCATGAGCATAGTTTCAGATTTTATCGCTAATAGACAGACTTGTTTGAAAATATACTCGTATATTGATATAAAAATAATAACTTCAATGCGATTAGAGTAGAGTGTTTCATAACTTTCAAAGCCTGGTCTCATGTGTCCGACACGACCTGACGGACGAATGTGGTTAACCCAGGCAGTTATTGCACCACCACTATGTGGAACCAGCAACCTTGAAGTATTTTGGAACCAATGAGCGTACCATATGATGGAATGAGCGTACCAATTAAAAAAGGCCGGAAACGCACTCGCGAGCCCTCTGGTATTAAGTGTCCATGGGAGCGGTATCACTTAATATCAGATGAGCCTCCTGCCCGTATGCTCCCTGTTCTTATATAAAAAAACTTACTAAAAAGAAAAGTGAGGCGCCTTATTACGATTCCAGTTCTTAAGTACCTATTATATATAACTCCTATTTACCCTATGTTTTAACTTAATTACTAAACTACTAAAGGTTAAGTAAAAAAATGTTAAACTGCACGTTATTTGCAGTTAAATATTACGCCAAGAATCATAAGCTCGCCTTATGCAGATCATATTTTAAGCTCGCGGGACATCGTTTTCCATAGTCACAACTCTGGAATTAAACTATTAAATTATTTTGCTTTCATTAATTTTGACCTTAATCTCTTAGATTAATCGCAACTGTATTTTTAATTTACTAAGCATTTGCAATATAAAATTTATAAATAATCATCCATTTAAATGCCTCAAAAATGAAACCCAGTTTTAGGAAACATCTTTTAGTCTTGTGACATTCTGAGAATACACGAATTAGTTAGATTTTAGATCCTTTTTATTAGTTTTAACTAATTGAGGTTTATCCACGTAGTATGGCCTACTACTAAGGATATAGAAAATTAGCAACACATTTGTATGTGATTCTAATTTTTTAAATCATACATTACAGGTGACTGCCGTATCTTGGAGCTATGGTATAAATAGAGCTTTGCAAGATCTGGAGACTATGAATATGAAATTCAATATTGTACTCAGACTATTTTGGAAGGGTGTATGGCTGGTTGCTGTGCCTTTTGTCAGTTTTGTAAGTATGGAATATAGTATTGTCTTTTATTGACATAACTTTTAGACATAGAAAAACACTTTTTTAAGGGATTTGATTTGAAATTTATTATAAAACATAACTTCAAATCCGTTAAAAAAGTGTTTTTCTAAGTATGGAATATATTATACTTTATATCCACTGTATATAAGTATATAATATGTCCTTTAGAAGTTCGCCTTCGTCAATCTCATTAAAATACTACTTACTACACGCATCGTTCTTCTGTCAGCCTGCATTTCCTTGGCTATATAGACTAGTTATATTTATTTTTATTTAGGTTAATAAAAACAGCTCTATGGACATAATACATTATACTATAGGTTGTAAATTCTTTGTAAGAATAATAATAAAATTGTCAAATATGTCAAATCCAATGCGTCCTTGGCATACGAGAGTCATACTTAGCGCCAAGTTTCGAATTCTTACCTAAGCGGTTAAAGCGTATGGCATATAATCGCAGCGTTGATTCCTGGGAAAATACAACAATAATCTTTATTTCGTTTTGGTAAGGAACGCGAATGGCCCACTTGCCATAATATAAATTACTTACACTTGCAATAAAACATAAACTTACATTATGAGAGATCTCCTGCAGCAAGGTAAAATATTTTTATTAACAACGAATTATTTATTTCAAGGCTATATTAATATTTGTACTGGTGGAATGGACGCCGCCTAGTTATGGCAACTATAAATTTCCTTTGTTCGCTGATATTCTTGGATGGGCTATTGGAACATCAACAATTATATTTTTCCCTATGGGCGTCGTGTGGGCTTTATACAAAGGATATGTGAGTAATTTTAATACTTTTAAATTTCTTAACTATAATTATTTTACCATGATTCGATAATATTTCAAAAGCATAAACATGTATGATCATAACATAGTTTGTTAAATCTAATATATAAAATTGTTGTGTCTCAATGTCCCATACTCCTCTGAAATGGCTCGACTGATTCTTATGTAATTTTTATGCATATTCATTAAGTCTGAGAATCGGACATCTATTTTTAATTCCCCTAAATGTTAATAGTTATTTTAATTGAACTAAAAAAAGTTTCCTAGAAATAATATACATGGCAAAACGACGTTTGCCGGTTCAGCTAGTTATTTCAATTAACAGATTTCAAAAGGCTTATTTAAGACAATTATCTATATAAAACAGAAATATGTCGGATACTTGAAACAGGGCCGGAAAATATATGCTTTATAAACCTTTGAAACCAATTATGTATTTATGAAGCGTGACCAAATAAATGCATTTTTAGTTAATATCGAAAATATAATAGTGGCTTTCATTAAATTTATCTTACCTATAATTTAAGAGTTTTAAACAAGCCTACTTCGTTGTTGGCACTGAAACGGCTCATCGATCGAAAATGTTGCCAAAAGAATTTATAAAGACTAATTAGTGTGTAATTTAATATGTATATAGGTTAACCTCAGTCTAATTTTTTTTTTAAAGCCAATTCACACCAATTGACCTAGTCCCATGCTAAGCTGGTGAAGCTTATGTTATGGGTACTAGGCTACGGATATACATACATATTATAGATAGATAGACATATAAATACATATTTAAACACCCAAGACCTAAGCACAACACCAAATGCTCATCACATCGATGTTCGTCTCAGCCGGGGATCGAACCCGGGACCCATGGATTCGCAGTCAGGGGTACTAACCACTAAACCAATGAGTCGTCAAAATTGCACTTCGTTAAATTAAGTTCACATTTGCTTGTCTCTTATCATCACAGGGTAAAGACAATTTCGCAGAAAGAGACGAAAGATTTTAGTTTAGAAACTTAAACGTATGTAATCAGTCTGATTTAGTTTTCACAAATAAAGGGGAAATGTTTGAGTCGGCTTAGCACGCTCATCTAAGGAAATACTGCTAATTGAAAGAATATTTTTGCTTTTTAGTGCCGTTTTAGTTACTTAGCGTTACAGCCGAATTATATTTTGTAAGGAATTATTTGTAATTATTTATATATATATTAAATAATAGATCTATGTTATAATTAATTCCCAATCTATACTTATACATACACCATTTGAATGCTACGTTATCACTGATTAGTATAGGCTATTTTAATTGCAAGAAAAAACTACATAATGTTACCCAAGCTGTAAAAAAAAATGCTTATGAAAATATCTTTGATCGCATGCTCTGCAAGAACTATTGTTGATAGAACAAAAAATAGTTCACAATATTAAAGAACATATCAATATCTACAAAAAAAATATGTACACCCGTGCGAAGCCGGGACGGGCCGCTAGTATAACAAATATATTAACTATTAAATGAACTGAAAATAAATTTGATTAGACTTCATTAGTAATTAATTATTTCCTAGTTTTTTTTATTCTTGCCACTATAAATTCGTTTAGACCACATATTAACAATACAAATATTTTTTCAGCGAGGAATGGATCTCTTCAGACCAACTTCTGACTGGAAGCCTGCTGTCTTACCATCAGAAAGTGAAGCCAATACTTATGATAACTTAGCATATCTTTAAACAATAAAATCTATATTTAAAATCACTATTATGTTATTTTTAACTGTTAATAATATTTAATGTAAAGTCACTATAAACACAATTATCATAAAGAAAATCAACTATAAACATTCATAATTATTATAATTAAACAATATATTTCAATAAATGTTCTACCATGACTAGTTTATTAACCTATATCGACGAACGAAACAGATTTAAATTCAAGATTAGTGGAGGCATACAGAGGCAATCCAAATTAAGAAATTCCATATTTAAGCGTAAAATGATTTTCATAGCTAATTATTAGTTTAAAATATACTAATAGGCACTCCTTAATGCCTTTACAAGGGCAATTAATACAAAGTATAAGTATTGTTAATTATGTGTTTTTTTTACATATATATTATATATTATATATATATATAATAGGGGTGAAAACGAGCTTGCGGGACGTCCAAAAGGGACAGTCATCGCAGCCTATAGACACCTATTTTTAGTGGATGCGCTGCCGGCCTGTCAGGGAGTACACTCGATTTTTAAACATTTGTAGGTCGTATCTCTGAGGGAAGTCCACCGGGAGTCGATTCCACAGTTCGCAAGTTCGCAAAAGAAAATGCCTTGTGAAACGGACTGTGGAAGACCTCCAACCATCAAGATGATGTGTATAGTTTCAGTGCCATGTCAGTAATAATTTTGTTAAAAGGAAATTTCAGCATTAACTAACGATTATAATATAAAGACCTATTGTTTCTGCATACAAAATTGTATTGTTCCCCGCACAATAAAATATAATGAAAGGAATTTTCACAGCGCTAAAACGCTATACCAGTCTGTCAAGTGACATGCCATTATAATAATGGATGCAGTTGTAAGATTGTCCAGTTAATTTAAGTACTCATAAAACGGTTAAGTAAATATTTAAAATAATACAAAAAATGTAGCTTATTAGTATGAGAGCTTTGTGTAAGGGATAATACAAAGCATATCACAAGTTCATCGACAGTAGACATCGATGAAAAAGATATTAAAAAACTTTCGAAGAGAAATAAAATCTGTAAGATATGTTTGGTTGTGGTTTCACCTGCGTTAATTCGATCATAGCGTGATGATCTAAGGCCTATAGCCGTCCTCAATAAATGCCCACATTCGACCAGGGGTTCAATATAAGGAATTAAGATCGATCTAAATATAACGCGTTCAATCAAACTGAGAAAAGCTCTCAAAAGGAAATATTTTTTCCATCGTATCAACTTTTTGATACTCTGCTCCTAAAATTTGAGGCGATATTAGCTTAACTTACTCGCTTAAATAGCTATATTAGTGAAAAAAGCCTTAAAATTGCTTCAGTAGTATTAGAGTTTATTCACATACAAAAACAAATTCGTATATTGGCGTATTCTGCTTAAATATGGAGCCATCATACATCATTTTTAATACCTGCAGCTGAGTTTCACCATTGGACGTCGAGGCAGAATATGAAATTCCACCCGTATCACCTCGACGTCCGCCGTTCCACAACTGGGCGTTTTTCAAGGTAGTTTTTGCCGCGCACCACCACTTCATGGAACCAGCTGCCCACAGAAATATTTCCGAACCAATTCGACTTAGGGTCCTTCAAGAAAAGAGCGTACAAATTCTTAAAAGGCCGGCAACGCACTCGCGAGCCGTCTGGCATTGAGAGTGTCTATGGGCGGCGGTATCACTTAACATCAGATGAGACTCCTGCCCCTTTGTTCTATAAAAAAAAAGTAGAGACCGAAATTAACAATTATAAAATAGTATAATATTTGTATACATTTATTTCGGAGATTTTTAGTATAATATTATATTACTGTCAGATAGCACCGTTAGTGCTTTGTTTGGTGCGGTCTCAAGGTTACGAGTCTACGGATATTAGAAGAACTTTGAAATTCTTGTTCGGTTTTAAACTAGGACCCCTTTGATTGATTACATGAATACTAACAAATAAATAAATAATGACTATGTGTAATTAAAGCGACATACGATCTCTTATAAAACAATATCACGCCTTTAGATATTTATCTATTCGGATACAAACGCGGGCAGCAGCTGCTTTGAAATAAAACAATGAAATCCTCTCCTAACGATCACGGAAATAGTTCATGCACTTTAATAAAGGAACTTTGCGTGCCCTCAATGCACAAAGAGCTTTGTTTAATATTCCACTTGATATTGCACGTATCTTCAATCATGTCGAAGTCAAACAAATTTTTATAGTTTTCTCTTAGGGGATCAATTTTACATATGGTTTTATCTGATTTCTCCAAAATATTCTTTGGGGGACACATTGCTGTGTCTGTTCGATGTTTAAGGTATATAGTGTATCTGGGAAACGAAACAATTGTTGCTTGGTTGGATTTGAAACCAATCAAACCAAACGTACGAGGTAAGTCATGTTAGGACCTTAATTAAAAATAATAATATATTATTTAAATTTAATTGTTAATTTGTATTAGACAAAGAATAAAAAACAACAGAAAACCAATAACTAACATTAAAATATATTATTAAAAGGAGTCCCTTTAGGCAAGGTTGCGAATATACTGGCTGCGTTCACCCTTTGAATAGCTAGACTAAATCTTTGTCCGAGCTAGCTGCCAGCTCTTCGGTCTCCGGTGATGTTGACTAACCTTTTTGCTATTTCTTTAAAAAGCCTTATAGTTCTAGGGGTCCCTTGGGTCATGGACCTTCGGGTCTCGGCACCGAATGGGAATACATCATACAAAAGATATGAGAAAAATAAAAAAAAATACAGAGAAAAACTGAACTTTGAATTATAATCTCTAAATAATTTTCTAATGCATTATAATTATAAGATTTCTCGCTAGTATTGCTCAACCCACAATACCCTAGAAATCGCCAGTTATCAAAATTTGCTTCCTTTCAAGTAGCTGTAAAATTAATTTCTTTGCGTACGCTTTCGAACGAGTTCAAAAATTGAAATCTTAACCGCGAGTTCATAAATCTTGCACGTGCTTCGTTTTCCAACTATCACTTATTGTGTTCGGAAGCAATTCTGAACTTAAAGGGAACGTCAAAGTTGGACACAGGTGCATCGCTTCTATATGCTCATATAAATCGCTGCAAAGTTTTATTTAACTCGGTCTGGCATTGCTTAAGAAAGTTTACAAGCGCTGTTTGTGGGACTCGATATATTATTATGACTATGAACTTTGGGAACAAATCTATTTTCAAATTTAACTGGCGTTTCGAAAGATTTGTATAAAAGTTAAATAATGAATTAATATAGTCAAGCTTTATTGAGATGTTAAAGTAGGCTTCATTAGCATGTATAGCCTTTAATAAGTAAAGGCTAAGCCCTAACTAGTGCTTCGAGACCGTAGTATTAATCATGCGTTCTATAATGCATACTAAAAATGTATTTAATAAGCACTTAACTATCGTTACAATGTAACACTTAACCAAGTAACAACTAAGCATCATAAAGATGCCTTAATATCTTACCTTTGACAATTTATAAACTAGTAAAAGATACGTATCTTAAAAAATACTGAATTCAGTGTCCTCACCTAACCTTGAAAACTATTGACAAACAAGATGGGCGATGTTATTTTGAATGGATGCGTTTTATATGACTGTTTGAATGGATGAGACAATTATCATATTTATACTAGAGAATGTGAAAAAAAATATGTCAGCTAATTCCCCATAAAATTATTTTATCGGTAAGAAAAACTTTAAACATTACAGGCTGAGAGTGTTTTAATATATTTTTCCTACAGTTATGACTACTTATTTGTTATTTGTATAATATAATTTGTTCGCTTTTGTGCCTATTAGCATTGAGATAGAATTAGGTATTAAATCTGAACAGATTAAATTGAACGGAACTTGGCATTTCTATTATCGCAGCTCAAGACAAATTACCATCTGAATGAACGAATGCTCTGTTGTTCGAATGGATTAATTTACTAATCCTAAAGTTATCAAGCGTAATTTCAATTATTTTACACAATGTGTAACTTTTCTCTAAAACAAAAGACAGTAAGATAACTAAGAAAAAATAACTAAGACTTGTAAGTTTTAGTTATTTTATTAATTGTCATAACGTATTGTACAAAATAATTGTATTGTAATTTGGTATCTACGAAAAAAAGAATTTTCAATATCAAAAATAGTAATTGAACATCTTTGAAACATTATGTTCATATCTGTTGATTACACAAAAGTATTTAATATATTCTATTTCCTTAAGATTTCTCAACATTATATAATTCAAACTCGATTGAACATTTTCCGAACTAATTAGAATTCGACGACACTTTTTATTAATTTACGCTCAAACTTAATTTGATACTTAGCTGGTTTTCCAATTTTCTTTAAGCACTTTGTAAAACTTATTTAAACAAGTATTAGCGAAACAAAATATACAAGAGGGTGTATTTTAGAATAGTCTGAGTTTGTTTATCTATTTAATACTGAACTAAAAATAAGAAAAGCCTGTTGATTCAGATACCTTTACATTTAAACACGTTTCTATTTCACTCTTTTTTTAGGTATCTGTGTGCCCTTTTTTGACCAAGACCGTCTCCAAATCCCGCCATTCCTCTCTGCACTGTGCCACTCTCTGCCATGTACCACCTGCTGTTTCTTTAATTTAGTCTATCCACCTTCTAAGTTGTCTTCCTCTTATTCGTTTGCTATACCTTGGGCAACAGTTTAGTACTTTTTGATCCACTTGTCTGTTCCTCTTGCCATGTACCCCGCCTATTTCCACTTTAGTTTATTTATCTGTTACCTTAGTTGATTTTCTTAAAGCTGTATTCTTTATTTTGTCTATTCTTTTTTAATATTGTACTAAAGCACTTCAAATATATTTTGTAATTAGATATTGTGTATAAAAATTCATTTAAATTCATGTAGAATAAGACGTTATATATTCGAAATCAACCCGTGTTGTACAAGTGGTTTAAGTGTACTCAATCCTTAGCCGTTCGGGCTACCAGGGCTGTAAACCAATACAATTTTCTTTTTAA